TTCTCCATGTGCAGGTGCTCTGCCAGAGAGCTGCAGTCCTTCCCTTGGAAGCACCAGGCCAACTGCTGGCTTGGTTTATTGGTTTTTATCACATGGGCTTTCTGTAGTCCACCATAGCATTTCCCTTTGTGAAAATAAGACAATTATAGCAATTTCCCTACCTTCTTTCAACATGAACTGTTTTGGTCCTTAAACACTTTAGGAAGGAAGGAAGTCAAGGCACCTTTAAGGGGGGAAATACCTGTGTTTCGTTTGAGGAAAGGGAGGAAGGTTTGTGACACCCTGGCAATGGTAATGTTGTACGGTCCTCACTGCTGCAGTGCTTTAGAGGGGAATGCAGTGTTCTTGTGTCTAAAATTATTTATACTGAGCAAGCTCCTAAATTATGAGCAATGACTAAGCAGTGTCAGCCACCCAGTTTTGCATCTCAGTTACGAGGTTCTCATGCAGATTATATTATCATCCATTTAATCTGCCCTTTCCAAATTTTGTTTTGTTTTAAATAGTCTTTTGTGACAATTCTTTAGAATAATAAAACATCTTGATCAGGCCAAGCTGTTCCACTGCACCATTATCAATTCCTGTGTTCACATTCAACAATTCCATGTCGATTAAGTGTACCCTACTGCTGTCCCAATTAAGCATCTTTCACTGTCATTAAACTAAAAAGTTTCCCGGGGAATTCTTTTAATATACTGTGTCCAAATGAATTAGCATGTACTGTAGTAATTCACATTTATAGCACCTTTCATGTTTTATATCAGACAAAGAAGAAGACATTGAAATAAATTCCTTGAAAAATGAATTATTAAGACTGAAATAATGAGTGAAAATTGAATGCAGTTTTGCAGCTGTTCACAATGGGAAGCACTTGGGGGAGTGCAGAAATCGCCCTCTGGGTCTCAAATCTGCAGGGCCTTGCTAATCATAATGAGTCAGCAGGTGTTAGCAACAGGGATTCTACTGCATTGCCATAATAGCCTGGATCATACAGCTGCAGACAGTGTCAGAAAGAAGGACAGCCATTTCTGTACATCTGGAATCTCACTGAACCCATTTTTCCAGGACAGTTTGAGAACTGGAGGTCTATGTCCAATCCAGATGGTCCAGCTGCTCCAAATCTGAAGATGACTTGCAATGCAGGCTGCAGGTGTAGGCAGCCCGGTGCTTTCTAAAGGGTTCGGACTGCAATTCCCATTGTCCCAGCCAGTGCAGGCAATGTTTAGGGACAGTGGGAGTTGTAGGCTTCCTTACAAGTTGTCACTTGACTCACTCGCAACTAGAGCCTAGAGTAACAGAAGTGGAGAGATGGCAGGGGGAAATGGAAGCAATTGCTTAGAGTAGAATTTTTCATTTACTGCCCTAGTGTCATGTGGGAGCAAGGGTCTGTGGCCAAAGAGAGAAAGATGACCTAGGCCAACAAAAGCAGTAAAGAACTGCTCATATAAAACCACTTTCCTGCATGGCCATGTTCTTCCAAGGCCATGTTGCCTCTTTAATGCAAGGTCGGAACAAAATCTCTTACGGACAAGACAAAAAGCCCCTCTGTCCCAGCATTCTAATTGCCACAGCGGCTGACCAGGTATCTCCGGCAACTTAAAAGCAATTGTGGTCTCCCTTTTTCCTCCTCCAGCACACGCTGTTCAGTCTAAGTTATGCAGCCTTGGACTTGGAGGTTTCATTTAGTTATCATGGCTGACCTCTTTCTGATATACCTGGCCTTTGTGAATTGTCCGATTTTTATCCAAAAGCTTCTCAGAGTTTTTCTGCTTAGCATGTGCAATTGTATGAAATTACATTTCCTCTTTGGGAAAAGTAGCTGGGGGTGGGGGCAAAATTTTCAATGGAGGAGCAGTAAGGGGGGAAAGTTAATCCTTGCTCTACTGGCTGCTTTTCTGCTGCAACTTCTCCCCTCTTACTCTTTTTTCCCCTGAAGGAAATGTTTAAAGGCTAATAGATGAGATTGCTTGGCTGAAGATTAGCAGTTAGAAGGAGAGCTTTTGTAACAGAAATATTGGGCACAGCCTTCTCTTACCAGCCACCACACAAACTATTACATGCAACACCCAAAGCATCACACCTTCTATCAACCCATTTACAACCCATATGTTCAGGTTTATGGACATTTGTATATTTTAATGCATAATGTTTATATATCTATACGCCGCATTTTCATTCTGTCCAAGGGAGCTTCTAATAAAAGCAATAAAATAAAATTACATACATCTTAAATAGACAGAACAGTAGCAATAAAATACGTTACACTGCAGCAGTATGCAGGTTTTTTCACAAGTAAATTACATTGTGTCGAGTCTTTTTTCCCCATTATCAGTAATTGTGTTTACATACCTTACATAGAATAAGCACAATTGAACTTAGTGAGACTTGCTTCTGAGCATAGCTGCAGCTATATTAACTAAGCTCTTCAACCCTGAAATCTTGTGCATGTTTACTCAGAAGGAAGACCCTCAAATAAATTTGAGGCCGCATTTAAGACCAGCTAGACTCATTGTAATGTTTTCAATGACTATTAAGATACCACAGCAGCAGTGCCCTAATTCCCAAACCATCACCCTTTTTTTTCCCCTGAAAGTTGAAAAATTTCCCCATTTGGGCTTATGCCCAGATCCAGGAAAATGCTGAACAGGTCACATTTCAAGCCATGTTTAGTTCAGTTAAACTTAGTCTGGGTAAGGGCACATAGGGCTGCAGCCTGGTGAGATCTGAAACAACTGTGTGCAAGGGGAAATGTATATGTGGAATACAGTAGTTCTTGCTGACCAGGAAAAGTCAAGCTTAACCTATTCAGGTAGGTCCCTTGTAATCACTTCCTTCAAGAAGGCATAATTAAGTTTGTATAATACGGTAAGGTCAACTGAGAAATAAAGCCCCAAGTGGCTACAGGGCTTATCAGGCCAGTTAAACAGGAATGTGCTCTTCAACTCAAGAGGGAGTAAGGTTCTATTTATAATTTCCATCTGTTGTAAATTGGCTTTGTACCTCCCGGCAAAACCAAACTATCCAACTTCTTTGTGATCTCAATTTAAAAATGTAAAATTTCCACAAATGTGGAAGCCATAAAAGATTTGTTAAGTAGGTGTGGAGCACTGTTACAAATGGAAAATTGGCTGAATTGGAAATATCTGCAGCAAGTATTTTCTTGACTCTAGTCTTGAGTTAGCACTTTGAAAAGATAAACTGTATTTTTCTGTTACTAAGCACATACAATTGTACTGTTTGGTATATTTGTGAAATTTGAAAGTATAAATGCTTTATCCGTCTTATTCAAACAATAATTGCAATGATATTCAATTTTAGAGATGTAGTAATGCTAGAAAACAGCTGCACACAAAAATACATAAGCATATCTTAATTTTTAGGCTGTTGTGAATTCAGGAGCAAATTTAAGAACTGAAAATAGAAACCATCAACAATGCAGTTAAAAATGCTTTATCTATCTGGACTTAAAATCAACCTCCTTTGTTTGTTGTCAACATTATCCAGAAACAGAAGAAACAACACAGAAAACCTTTCACAGCTATGACACCTGTATTTAGCAAAGGCAATGGTTCCATCTTCAAACTGCTTCCAGTTCCCTGGAAAAAAAAATAAAACCTATCATAGAGATCACAATATTTGGAGCTATTGGTAAATCTGACTGAGTTGAACTTTATAACATTGACCTCTACTGAAGTGTCTCAACATCATCACACACACTAGATGTAAGAGTGACTACAGACAAAATTAGCCAAATTAATCCCATACTGCATTATTTAAACAATTATATGGCCTAGAAAATATGACTGCCCAATTTCTTTCTCTAAAAGAAAGCTACTACTAAAATATCAGCACTAATTTTGAAATTTATAAAGAACAACTATGAACATCTATGAAGGTCTGCGCCAATTGAAACAGACTTCTGGCATTTTTCACACTTCACCATGTTTTTTTGGTTTGGTGGGTGTGTAAATGCTTGAACAAAATGAGTTTCTTCCACATGCCCATAGCCAGTTCTCTGGGCTTGAAGTTCCCTGCATTCTCAGTTTTCTTCCTCCAAATTGCTCTAGCTTCCAGGACTCCAAAGTTTCTTGGCCCCTGTTTTATTTCAAGAGCTTCTATCCCACCACCTCCAAAGATCAGGGCAGCTTCTGGCAAAATGAGCAGTAGTACTAGCAACCAAATAATTTAAACTGACAGTCTCATCAACCATAATAGCTGGATGCAATATTTATTTATTTATTTTTATTAAAAGTTTTCTATCCTGTACCCCACAGAATGCCTTGGGACAGCTTACAATGTAATACAATGTATGATACTATGGAACTGGAAATGACCACTCAGCTGCCGTAGGTTCTTCTGTAGAGTCTCAGTCTTCATCACCTCTTCTCTTGATGCTAAGTAGCGAAAACACATTATGATCAGGATGGTTGTGGCTTACGGGAGTGGGAGTCCAAAATTACTAAAAGGCACTTGCTGCTTACCCTTGCTCTACAACTTCCAAAGAGTGCCAGGGTGTTGAACCTCAGGTCTGGAGACCAAACGTGTGCTCCTGGAGTCTCAGTCAACGATATGTTTTGTTATACTGAAGTGATCAGGTGAGAAGTTATTCTTTAGCTGGTTACTACAAGGTGCTGATGCACACTTCATCTGTTGCATTACCTATTGCTTATAGTAGATGGATAATTCGAACCAAAGAACAGCTAACATGGGTTAGGGGGAGTATATTTGGGGTGAGTGAGAGATAAAGAACCACTGGGTGAGACTGATAGTCTTTCTATATGCTGCAACCTAACTGAAGTTTGGGAAATTTTGTTGGTGACAAACACAATATTTTCCTGTTTTCTGCAAATACTTAAGATTGCTACTGTACTCCCTAAAACCTATTTGCTTGGGTAAACAAGGACCAGTTTATGCAGATGAATGTACTGCTCTTTTTTTTTTTTTTTTTTTTTGCTATAATATAAACAATAAATAAAATGTGATTTTTCTCTCCTTTATAGTTGCACTCTGCTGTGACCAGGATCCAAGTGCAAAGACCTGGTTTCAACTACACTTTTGCCCATATCTGCATCCTAAATAATGACAAGTCTTGCATAGTGGATGACATTGTGCATGTCCTGAAGGAACTGAAGGCTGCCCGCTTGTCTAACCAAACTAATTTTTCTATCACATATCCAATCACACACTTAAAGGATGGCAGGGCAGTGTACAATGGGCACCAGCTTGGCGGTGTCACCGTGCACAGCAAGGACCGGGTGAAGTCCGCCGAAGCCATTCAGCTCACCTACTACTTGCAGGCAATCAACTCCCTGAATGACATGGTGGCGGAAAAGTGGGAATCCAACTTTTGTGACACTATTGAACTTTTCCAGAAATCCAACCAGAATGTCACGATGTACCCCTTCACTTCTTCATCTCTTCAAGAAGACTTCCAGAAGACGAGTAGGGTGTCCGAACGTTATCTCACCACAAGCCTGGCCCTTGTGATAACCTTGGCCATGCTCTGCTGTTCCATGCAAGACTGTGTCCGCAGCAAACCCTGGCTTGGCCTCCTTGGCTTGCTAACTGTGAGTTTGGCCACTCTCACTGCAGCTGGAATCATTAATCTGACTGGTGGGAAATACAATTCTACCTTCCTGGGAATACTGTTCATCGTGTTAGGTAACTACCTCTTCTTCTGTTATTGCTGGGGGTCTGTCTGAAATATCTCCTCTATCTGTAGCATTACACAGACCCAAGGCAAAGGAGTGGGCACTGCAAGGGCCGAGGCCCTTTGGAAAAGCCTAAATTTGTTTAAGCAAAATAGTCAATCAGTGATTTAGGGCCTGACTTCCTTCAAGTCAATAAATCAGCTCTCGCTCAGCCATTTCTACTGCAAACTGAATATCAGTCGATAAGATACACGTGATACCTGGAATCTTTACTGTTTATAACAGAGACCTTAAACCTGCTGACCAACTCTGGCTTTCCTAGGTTCCCAGTCCAGCTCTCTTGATTCCACAGGAGGTTCTGTCTCTTCCCCTTTCCCCTAGCCAACCTGTGGGCTTTTGGTGGATTTCTGGCTGTAGTTCATTCTCCCCATTCTGAAAGGTTGAAATGAAAGTTCACTCAAGGCTTAGTTACTGTCACTAAGAAAAATATGATGGCATTTTGCTCCTAGCCCACAACCACTGGAATGTAGACCCTAAAAGTTTTTCCAAAATTAAATTTGGCATAGTGCTGAAAGAGATTTCCCCATCCCTGTTTTATACCTTGCAGGGAATAGCTCCTAAGCTCTTCCATAGCTTGTCCATGACTAAGATAACTGTTGGTGTTATGCAAGAAAAGGGGCATTATGCAAGAAAAAATGATGGAGGAAAATCAAATGCATACACCTCTGCAGAAATGTTACTGGCTTTGGTACTATGTCGCTTTTATAACAAAATCTTATGCAGCTCCTCTTACTGAAATTTAAAGTATCTGTTGCCGTGGTGCATAAAAGTAGTGACATGGATTTATTTTTAATGTATGTGGTTCATACAACATACTATCCTTATACTCTGTGCTGAGTATATGCTGCTTTGTATCATGGGTTTTTATTTTAATCAGAATGTGTCCAGGGAGCAATAATAAGTAGTCTTGGTTTGATTTTCAATTGGTAATCATGGATTTATTTCATGCATCACATAAAAGAAGGATGCTCTGCTGATCTGGATATGTTTGCTTTCAGGTAGAGAAAAAATGAAAGCTCTTACATCCTTGTTCCTTAGATTTTGCAAATGAATTCAACTTTGAGAAGCTAAAGGACTATTTTTATGCCTTATTTAAAATCTTAGGGGGGTGAGGTGTGGGATAATCTGTTCTTTTTTGATTTCTACTGTATAAAGTACCATGACACATTGGGGATGAAAGCCATGAAAATAGGGAGAGAGTAAATTGGTCGTGGTTCAAAAGTGCATTTTTGTGTGTCAGATGCATTCTGCAAACACATCTGGTTTAAAATGCATGGTATAAACCAGCCTTCAGCAACCTGTGCTGGTCTAGAGGCGTGGGACCAGAGCTCCCATCATCTCCCCCATCATGTCCATTTGGTCTGTTTCTGAGGATGATGCAAGTCCTAGTCAATCATATTCTGGAAAGTGCCCAGAATATGAGGAAGGCTGATAGAAGTTCTTGCTTTCAATAGCATTGGTTTACTTCTATAAGTTTCTTTCTGAAGTACCTCTTCCATACATAAAGGGAGTACATTTAACCATGATGGAATCTTTCCATTAATGGAAAGATTCTCTGGCTTGAGTTTCCTGTATTGACAATGCCACTTGGAGTAATAAAAGTCTTCCACTCTCTAGCATGAAACTAAATTACACCACTAATTCTGCTTATTCCATTCCATTTGCCAAAGCTCTCTGGGTGATTCACAAAAATTACATACAAGATAATAAAGATACAAGATAATAAAACCTCTAACATACAAAATTTGAAACATTTTGAACACTAAAGGAGTTACAGTAAAGCACCAAACCTGATAAAAACAATTGGCTTAAATGCTACATCATATGTCATCAAATATTTTGGAGTGTAAGACAGTCTTAACCTGGCACTGAAAAGATACCAGTATTGGCACTCAGTGCAGGGAGCATTTCATGACTGAGAGACTACCACTGAGCAGAACCTTCCTCTTGTTGCCACCTGCTGAGCCATGCCCATATCACCTCAGAAGTTGACCATAATATCCAGGTAGCTTCAAGTCAGGAGAGGCACACCGGCAGGTATAAATGTTGATGAATTAAGAAATTCAAATAATGGAGAACTCTCTGGGCATTGGGAAGGAGTACAATAGCTGTTCTAACCAGGGAATCTAAATGAAACAACTAAGAGGCATTTGATTTGTTTGTTTGTTTGTTGCTTTTAGATACTGTCCAACCACTAGAGTCCTGGGACAGTCTTACAGTAAAAGCAGCATAAAATGAAATGAAGCACAGCATCCAAATAATTCCAATAGGATAAAACCCACATTAAAACCTTTTGAAGAACAGTGGTTAGGACAGGATATAGGATATTCTAACAGTGTACAGAATTTCTAGTATAAGATTTCTAGACAGGGAAGGTGTTTAGATTAGATGACCTCAAATTAGGTGGTCACAAATGAAGCTCTTAGAATTATACTTTTTGAAACCCCATGGTTTAGTTTGCCTTCATTCATAAATGCTGTGGATGTGGGAAGAAGGCAGGGCAGCAGACTTCAGGTGCCTCTCCTTGTTGACAGTATTCTGCATTTGTGGCATTTACTATGAACCAATCTGATAGGCTTCATAGTTGAAATTTAATTTATAGTACTTCGTTATGTTTGAGTATAAGTGAGCTCATACTGTTTCATCACATCTTGTAGCCTTGTTATACATCTCTTGTGGTTTCTTGATTTAAAAAACACATTCACAGTGAATATTAAGTCTGCTAAGATATGTATATTGTGAATATTAAGTCTGCTAATATGCATGTTCCCCTTGTGTCTTTAACTAAAAAGTAGTTTTAGGTTTGTCTTTCACAGCAGCCCTGTTTGGACACCAGTTGCCTTGTTGAAAATAAGGAAGTCAGTATCCGAAGTAGAACTGGTTTATTTCATTTCAAAATTACATTCCAAATGTAAGATAAATACCATGCAGTCTAAGGCCGACATATTACAGGAACGTGTTGCCAGGATACTAGGCTTTTATGCCATGTCTACTAAGTAGCTTGTGCAAAATATGTCATCTTCCCCAGTCTGTGTCACAATAATGGAAACATCCACTGAAGGATTTAAAATCACAAGTCCACTCATACAATATGTAGCATGGAATAATTTTTGAAATGACTCCTGGCTTGTGGAATCAAGACACCTGCTGCCCAAGCACAACTTTTTACATTTTTAATTGAATAAAGCAAGCCTCAGTTTTGCATAGGTTAAAATGAACTATGGCAAATTTTGCAAATACTGGGCTTGCCATTGTTTGACAGCAGATACATGGACATTTTTGTTCATCCAGGAATGAGTTTCAAGCAAGCAATTTAACTCTAAATAATTGTCAGGCCAAAATTGCCCCTGTTCATTTGAATCCTTCCAATGGTTTGCATGGCTTAATAAAAACTGACAAAAGCTAGACTGCAGAGTGAAGGACCAGTGCATAGAAGGCTTCTAAAGAATTTAATGAGTATGAGTTCAGCCTGGGAGATGGCTTTATCTCTCTACCAAAATGTAACATTCAGTACTAGTATCAAGAAATTACACATTTACTCGAGACAAAAGAGCTGGCTGCTTTATTTAAGTCAATAGGAAACCTCAAACTATCTTGACCCTCTCAGCCCTGACTTTAAAACCATCCTGTTTTTCCTCATCACTAAACCACTAAACCTTCAAGTTGTATTTTTATCAGTATTTCATTAGTATTATATTTTTAATTGTTATTAGTTTAATTGTGGTTTTCAATCTTATGATTGTGAGCTGCCCAGAGGTGCTATGGCACAATAGGCGGCATACAAATGTTTTAAATAAATAAACCACCAACTTTCCTTCCTGCTCTTTCAGCAATGCAGACCCTGCCCTACTTGTTCCCCTTTCACCTTGTCCCTGTGTAAAGGCCTCCCCTTGGATGAACTGGCCTCTTATGTGCACAGTAGTCATGCCATTTTCTCCAGTATGGCACAATAATTGGAACTAGATCACTTCACAAAAAGCACTCATGCCAGCACAGAGCAGGACTGCACCAGCTGGTGCGCCCCCACTGTGACATACGCTTGCTTCCCACACCCGGGGCATCTGTGCATTCAGAATGAGCCTCTGCAGCAAGGAAGCCCTCACACAGGCAGCTGCAAGCACAAAGATGTCGCTGTGATCTGGAACCTTGTGGAGGCTTGTGTTGATATCCTCAAAGACTTCCTCACCGGGGACAGCTGTGGCTAGTGCATAGACATCAGGGTGGGGCAAGCCAGCGTTCCTATGATTATGGGGTGGAAATAGTCTGCATATTTCTGCTCCTCAACCACTTTGATTCAAAAAGTCAATGTTTCTAGTGAAGGGAGCTGATGCTTGTCATATAATAAAGATAAATACTACAAACGGTAACGGGGCTTGCAAACAGCATGCAAATATTTCTTCTACCTTGGTTGGATGAACATTGGGGTCTAGCATGATTGATGGGCCAATTCTTCCTTGTTGATAGGCCAGTTCTCATTCCTGCCGGCCTTCTGGTACACAGTACAGTGTCACAGGGCTCTTACTGTTTTTATTTTAAAATACTGTGCTTTGGATCTGGTTCTGATACGAAGCTTCTTTATTTGCATCCTCCATTCAAACCCAGGCATATTTTTAAAAGTGGGTATGAAAAGAAAGATGCAACACAGCAAGATGGGTGATGTGGAGATAGTAGCAAAATGGGGTGATAAATGGGGTGATAAAATGGTAAGTGGGCACTTGCAGTAATCAGAGGAACTGAGAATATGGTTCAATGCAGATTATTGAAACTTGTTAGAATCCCATGTTTTTCATCTTTTCCGATGTTATTCATCTCCTTGAGACAATTACGGCTCTTATAAAAAGACAATTTGTAACAGGACTATTTCATCAAATTTCTTGCATACACACCAGTTCTGTCTCTTTAGATGCCCTTCTATAGAGAAGGTTCCCTGCATTCCAAAAAGATCTGCAA